ATAAAAAAATACATAATTAATAGGAAAGAAATAACGTGGGATGACTTAACATTATAAAGATGTTAGTTCTCCCCAAAGTAATCTATAAATTTAATGCAACTACATATCAAAATTTTAGTAAGTCCTGGCTGGTGTGACTTGGTTGGGCATCATCCTGTGTACCAAAATGTTGCTGGTTCAATTCCTTATCAGGGCACATGCCCAGGTTTCAGGCTTGATTTCCTGGTGGGGGGGCTTGTGGGAGGCAGCCCATCAATATTTTACTCTCACATTGTTTATCTCTCCCTCTCCCTTCTTCTTTCTCTAAATATCAAATTTTAAAAAATATTTAAAAATTTTAGTAAGATTTTTGCAGATTCAACACATTTATTCTAAATTTTATGTGGGAATTTTTTGCATATATATGTCAATTGCATTGTTTTTTAGTGACTAGATTGCATCTCATCGATGCGCAGTTGATTTGAGACATCAGAGAAGAGGGAAGAGAGCAGCAGAGATGAGTGTTTTGATTGGCAGTGCTAGAAATTGTGGTGGAGGCAGCAAGTAGCACTCTCCACAGAGAAACATGGGAAAGATAGAAGATAGAATAGTGAGGGATTGTTGGGTAGATATACACTCTTTCCTCAACTCTGGGAAAATGAATTTAGTAAGAACAGAGGACAAACCGCCACCTACAATATTCCTCAATATAGTGTCTTTTCTGTGCCATGCTAATGACATATACCATGTTTAGTTCGACAGTCTGTACAGAATACTTACCCATTTGAGGTATAGTATCTATATAGCAGGCATCTCTGAGATGTAGCTCAATAATTAAAACTCATAACTAATGGTGATCCTGAATAATCGAGAAGAGCTTTAAATACATTCTTGATGTTATGTTTAAAGTGACAGAGAAATGAGTCTCAGAGAATTTCAATAAAAACTAGTTAAAGTAAAAATAATACCTCTCACTTGGATTAATGCTCTTCCATTGGGAAAACAAGGCATCCAGAGCTACTCATTCCCTCAATTTTCATACAGCCGAACTTTTATTTTGCATCTGTGCACATATAATTGTAAATACTCACCGTCTGAACGTAAAACCACTCCATATTTTAATGGAGACTGCAGGTTGAAGAAAAATGGAGTTGAGGGAAATGAACCTCCACACTCTACCACCAACAGTAATCAACTACATTGGCATCATTATATTAACTGGTTATTATGAATCTTTCCTCTTCGAGAAAACCAAGAATCTTCCCAAGAGACAAATTTTGTATCTATCTATCTATCTATCTATCTATCTATCTATCTATCTATCTATCTACATATATATAGTATATATATAAATATATATAAATATATATATACATATATACTATATATGTATATATAAATATATACACACACATACACACATGTGTGTGTATATATATTTAATTGTGAATATATACATATGTGTGTGTGTACATATATATATATCTTACAATGTATAACAGTTTGGGAAAGAGTTATGTAGTCTCAAGGTGCTAACTACTCATTTGTAACTCATTTAGAATCTTCTTTCTATTATTTGGGGTAGCCCCCTTTTTTTTCCCTAAATGAATGAGCATTAAAACATATTTAATTTATTTAAACAGTATAGAGGTAGAGTACAGGGACTATATAAAAATACTAAAAAGAAAGTATTATCCGTGGCCATAGAGTCAGATTTTGTTGGATTAATTGTCCATTTTCATCAGTGAACTTTGGCAATATTTTATTTCATTTTTACTAAGGTATTTGATTCCTTACAATGACATTGTTGAAATGACTCAGGAAACCAAAACATCATATCTGTATCACAGTCTATTAGAAAACTCCATTGTTGGCTTAAGAAAGACATTTGGGGATATTTTTAGGTCCTGTGAGTCTCAAGCCCAATCTGAAAGGATTAAATAACATAGGGACTGGATCTCTGTGTTCTGTTACTGTGACTAGCCATCAAGTGGTAGTCCTAATTTTTTTTTCTTTAATCCTCACCTGAGGATATGTTTCTATTGATTTTGAGAGAGAGAAACATCAGCGTGAGAGAGAAACATGCATGTGCCCAAAGCCAGGATCAAACCCACAACCTGGGCATGTGCCCGATGGGGAATCAAATCCGTCACCTTTTGGTGTGTGGGAACGATGCTCCAGTCAACAGAACCCACACCAGCCAGGGCTCTCACTGATTTTAAACTTCCAGAAAATGGGGGCTTTTACTTCTGCTGCTTTGCAACTCCCAGATCCTAATAGTGTCAACTCAATTATCTTTTGAGAGATTATCTGCTTCATGTTTTAGCCTTTGCAAATATAGCTTCCAAGTTTTTATAGACGTAAGTAAACAAGGAGGGCGATAAAAGGCTCTTTAAGTCATTTCACTGTTTCATGCTTACTTTTAACTCCTGTGGAGCTTGGCTCTTAGATCAAGCTGTCCATCGTCAACTTTAACTTACCTTTCAGATGGATCCATTATCCCACATGTTATTTTATCGTAAGGAAAAAATAACAGCAATTTTCAATAAAAGTGTTTTGCTTGTGGATATAATTGTCTTTAAATTGGCTTTTAGCCCCTGCCTCTCCCAGCTATCCTCCACCTACGGGTAAAGATTAACACTGTATATTGTTCCTTCAGTATTTAAAAGACCATGCCTGGATCACTAATATTCAACTGACTCCTCAGGACTTGGAAAGTCCTTAGCCTTCAAAGACACCTTTAACTGGGATACAATGCCCATGCATGCAAACTAGAGAAGAATGGGTATATTTCAGAAGGCTTTTCAGTAAGGGTTGAAACATGAAGTTTTTGATGTTGTCTTATGAAAATAAACATCCAGTTAGTGTTAACTATAATTCTCTTCTTCAGCCCAAGAAAATGATAATACAAATGTCACAGATGTAAAGAAAAAGAAACCAGTTTTTGTTTAAGCCTGCTTTTAAAAAATCTGAAAGATGACGTTCTCTATTTGTAATATGAAGCAGTGGTCAGAATGAAGAAGAAAAATTGAACAACATTCCAATTAATTCATTGAGATACAGTACTGCTACATATGTTGTCTAAAGCATTGCCAATTCCAGAAAAAGTAAACATCATTCTATGAAAACGTAGGCACAAACATAAGCATCTGCTCTACTGTACTTGGTGCAACTCTGCCACAGCTGTGTGAATCTGTTGAATCACTTCTGTCTCCTTTGCTGTAGGGGGAGCTCCTTGAAGTCAGGGCCCATGTCTTTGAGCCCTGCATCCGTAAGTTTTAACACAGTTTCTGGAATGTAGTGGATACTGAACAAGTGTTAGATGAATTAATCATTATATGAGCCAGGAATGTTTCTGAATGTTTTTCTTTCTGTGGTTCTTTGTATTTTAGAGGGAACTGCAGTTTTAAAACTTAACAGATAAGGGATTCAGTTTTTTTGACTTATACATCTTAACTTATTAGTCTCTCATTTCTGAGGAAAAAATGTGGGGATCACCTATACCTTTTTTTGGACTTTTGCTGTTTTTCTTACCCCAAAAACCAAATGTATTAAGGAAAGTTAAAATGTTGGATCTTCTGTTACTTTGTGTTTTTCCAAGAACTTTCCCACACATTATTAAATCCTATCCTCACAACAGCCTGAAAGAGGCACAGGCAGAGATTTATGCCAAAAGTTACGAATTTAAAACCTAGGATCTAGGACTTTCGAATTTCTAGTTTAGTGCTATTTTGTATTTTACCTTATAAACACCTTTAAAATTATTTCTTGTTCATTGTATTATTTTGCTAGGGAAGCTATAACAGAGTATCACAAAATGGGTGGTTTAAATAACAGAAATGTATCATCTCATAGTTCTGGAGGCCAGAAGTCTGAACTCATAGGTTTGGCAGGATTGGTTCCTTCTGAGGGCTGTGAGGGAAGGCTGTGTCCAAGCCTCTCTTTGTCCGCTCCCTGCGTCTCTTCTCATCACCTTCCCTCCACGCGTGCCTTTCTGTCCAAATTTCTTGTAACGACACCCGTCATATTAGATTAGGGGCCCACTGTACTCCAGTAAGACCTCCTTTTAACGATGTACATCTGCAATAACCTTGTTTCCAAATAGGGTCACATTCTGAGATATTAGAGACTAGGATACAAACATATTTTTTGGGGGGGACTATTTAACTCATAACACTTACCTTTTAGTGAGAGAAATCTGACGAACCTTGGCCAGGTAGCTTGGTTAGAGCATTGTCCTGGTACACCAGGGTTACAGGTTTGATGCCCGGTCAGGGCACATACAAGAATCAACCAGTGAATGCATAAATAAGTGCAACAATAAATTGATGTCTTCCTCTCTCCACCTTCCTCTCTCTCTCTCAAAATAATTTTAAAAGATTAAAAAGAAAAAGTCTGACTGGAAATGTAGAAAGGATGACTTTTCTTTCCATTAGCTTAGTGGGAACTCCTCATTGGATGCTCACTGCTCTGTTACCTCTCAGATGAAATTAATTTAGTAACAGTGAAAGGCTTTTTTGACAGAACCATTCCTGTGCTAGTTTTTAGAACTATAGAGTTGTCTAATGATTAGTTTGTGGAAATACCCATATTTTTATTTCCCTGGAGTTTTCTTATGTTAGAATACACAAAGTTAACTGAGAACTACGCGCGTCTCCTGGGACTAGTCTCTGGAAGCGCATGTCTGTCACCTCCTGCCCCAGCTGTTCTCCTGTGCCTCCAATGGCCCCACGCCCCTCGAGGGTGTGGGCAGCTGACAGCGGAGTCTGAAGGAAGGTCGAGGTTGGTCAGACTATCAAGTAGCTAGTTTTAAAAAATATTATTCCATTAAAAAATGGAGAGAAGACTTCTTAACAGTAAGATTCAGAGGGAGACAAGGAACTCTTTACTGTTATTTGGATAAAAATCTGATTAACTAGAACTTGGATAATAGGCCTGTTTAGTTTAACTGAACCCCCCCCCCATCTGCACCTCTAACCCCCATCTGCACCTCTAACTCTTGTATCATAGTTTAAAAGGAAGAAGTTACACAAAATAAAGGCTTTTTTGGGTCAGCAGACATTTGACCAGATCACCTGCATATATGTATAATCATCATCATCATCATTCTCAGGATGGGCCAGTGGATATTGAACAAAATGGTAATTTTGAGGAAATGCAAAGCTCTGGGTTGTGCACACAGGTTAGCTTTTCTTTCTTATTTATTTATCTATATATTTTTATCCTCACTCGATATTTTTCCATTTTTGGTTCAGATAGAGTGGGAGGGAGAGAGAGGAAGAGAGAGGAAAAGAGAGAGAGAGAAAGAGAGAGAGAGAGAGAGAGACAGACAGACATCAATGTGAAAGGGACACATCGAGTGGCTCCTCCCATATGACAAACCAGGGCCGGGGACAAACTGCAACCGAGGTACATGCCCTTAGCGGGAACCAAACCCCGGGTGTCTCTGGACCACAGGCCAATGCTCTAACCGCTGAGCCAAACCGGCCAGGACTGCTTTTCATATTTATTAAAATGAGAAAGTGAGCCCAGCTGATGTGGCTCACTGGTTGAGTGTTGACCCATGCACCAAGAGGTCGTCAGTTCGATTCCTGGTCAGGGCACATGCCCAGGTTGTGGGCCCGATCCCCAGTGGGGGCCATGCAAGAGGTGGCCAATCGATGTTCTCTCTCATCATTGTTTCTATCTCTCTCCCTTCCTTCCTCTCTCTCTCAAATCAATAAAGAAAAATATTTAAAGAAAAAAATAAAATGGGAAGGTGAACAAATATATTTCAGCATTATATGTTTCTTTTAAAATGGGCTAAAGCAAAAACTCTAGATTAGACTTACACTCTTGGGTTCTTGCTGTGATTCAGTCCCCAACTAGTTGAATAACCTTGGGCAAGTTATTTCACCTTTCCAGGCTTCCTTTTTATCTGCAAAATGAGAGAGGTGCAGATTCAGCTGTAAAACTATTATTCTGTGAAATAATTTGCTTCCTCTGTTGAAGGTATAGTGCAGGATTCAAAGAAGGAAAAGAAATGCTTCTTGCCTTCAAAAAGGTTACAGTATATAGATAGATGGAAAGCTGTAACGTGAAAAGTTAAGTAGAAGTGTAAAGTACTAATCAAGACGTAACATGCTACATGCTATAAGTGCTAAGGGCTGTAGTATAAGTACTGTGCATTCTGAGGTGGGTGGCAGATATCTGCTGGGTAGAATCATCTGAAAATAACTGCACAGAATTGGGGATTGAACTAATTGTGTTGACCAGGCATAGTTGAAGGGAAAAGAACAGGGGAGTATCTCAAGCAAAGGTGTAGGAGGGTGGAGCTGTAATATTTGTTCAAAACAAGTAAGTTTGTTTCTAAATTGCAGCACAGGCTCATCATAGGTGTCTTTGGTTCCCAAAATGTCCAGTTTGGATTGTTTGACTGCTTTAAGTCTTATGTGGTATAAGTATTTATGGTCAAATAATTTTGAGATTTTTCCTGGTTATACAGAAGAAAAGTCAGGAATGAGATGAGGGAGCTGAGAAAGAAGGACTTTGACTTATAAAAATTCTGCCATAAAAAGCGAAGGTTTTATTTTTTTATTTATTATTATTTTTTTATCCTCACCCGAGGACATTTTTCCACTTTTTGTTCAGGTAGAGTGGGAGGGAGAGAGAGGAACGGAGAGAGAGAGAGAGAGAAACATCGATGTGAAAGGAACACATCGAGTGGCTGCCACCCGCACAACCGACCAGGGCCGGGGACAAACTGCAGCCGAGGTACGCGCCCTTAGCGGGAACCGAACCCGGGTCTCTCAGGACCGCAAGCCGACGCTCTAACCGCTGAGCCAAACCGGCCAGGGCAAAAGCAAAGGTTTTAAATAATTGGTTTTGCACAGTTGCTGATTAGTTAAATCTAATTAGGATAAACTTAACTGTCTTGATGTTTTTATGGTTTTTAAATCCTAAACTATATAATTATTTTAAGTACATTTACATTTTTTAGACTTACAGGATCCGTTGATTATTTTTTATTTCAGTTGCATCTGGAAATTTGTGTAGAATAAGTGTAATTTAAAATATCTGTAGCATTTTGTACTAAAGCACTTTTGTGAAGTAAATGTTTCATTGATTTACCACTTATAATTTCTTAAGGAGGATCAGTTCTATTATGTTTGATGTTAATAGATTCTTTAAGAATTCTAACATATTAAGTGGCTTCTAAAAACTCCAGTGTTTTATGTGGAGGTTAATAAGAGAATGATAGGAAGTGTGTTGAACTTATTTCTGGATTTCTTTATCTCCCATAGCACCAGGCATAAGACTGCTGACATATAGAGGCACTGTATACACGTGTGTGCTCTTTGTTGGATGGCTGGTGGGATGGGTGTGTAAATGGATGAGTAATTAAACTAATATATTCAGATTTATTTTATATATGTATTTTTGTGTTCTTATTTATATGAATATACATATTTGTTTTATAAAATAAAATGATAAATATTATATTCTGTTTAAATAGTTTGGATAAGAGTTTTTCAAGGTGTGTGCTGTGAAAATGTTTCATTTAAAAGGTCTCAATAGCCAAATAGATTTGGAAATGTGACATATTATGATTATGTCAGCAAATTCTTAATATAAATGAGCACATTAAAGGTTCTGAGTGGTCCAGCAGTAAAGAAACTCGTGCAGATTTGGCCCAGAATTTCCAAAATGAAAAATGGAAAGCTTTTTAAATCCTAAATTGTGTTGTATGTGTGTATTTGTATTTATGTACACAATTTGGAAAACAGTGGGCTTTTAAGTAGTGGAAGTGGTGGAACCGAACAGACAGCGGGTGGCAGGGAAGTAGGAGCTGGTGATGGTATTTCATAGACTGTAGGAAACTGGGAAAGCATATGTAAGATTCCAGTTTTTATAGGAGTTAGTGAACTAGACATAGTGAAAGCCTGCGATACCCTTTACAAATTGTAATCATGCTACCGTGAATTACGTGCCGCCGTGGAAGGATTGCGAAGGGAGAACAAAAGAGGACGAGATGATTAGGAAGGAGAACCCCCAACCCTCCACCTCATTGCTTGGGAAGGACAAACGCCAGTGCTGCCCTGTGACAGCAGTAGTCATGTGACCATGCCTCAAGATTCAGATTGCCTGGCTTCTCGCAGGGCTTGGGTCTTTCCTCGCTGCCTCGGCGCAGTTTTCTCTTCACATGTGGAAGGAACTGAAGCATAAGACAGCTCCATAGCCAGGTACTCTTGGCCTTTGCTTATTTTAGGTAGCAAACATTTTCAACTCTACCTCAGTGTATTTATTATACAGGAAAATATAATAAGTAAGGAAACAAAATGTAGAATTTGTCTACATTTTGGAAGCAGTGTAAACAAGGAAAATCTTGGCAACAAATTCTTGAACTATGGATAAACAGAAAACTAACAAACTGAAAGATAATCTGAAAATGAGCCAATTTTATTAGGCTCCTTTTGTTTGTTTTTTCTTTTAAGAGAAAATGTTAGTAAACATTAATAAATCCAGTGTTTTCTGTTAGTAGGAAAATAAAGACAAAGACTTAGATTCAGTTAACAATTAAGTGAAAGGGGAATTCAATTTAAACAATTGGATTTAAAAATAATTATTTTGACTTCTTTACCTGGAAATGTGCATTGTGTTTTCCTCTGGGCCTCCTCAGATAGCCCAGCGTGCTTCTCCTGGCCCAGGGAATCACTGTGGCGAGGCCACGCTTTGCATGTTCATCTGATGGACACTGCAGTTATGGTTCAAGGATGCCTGAGCGAGCTTCGAATATCCTCCTGGGTTGCGGGTACTACGTGTGTGTTCTGTCATTATTGTTACATATGTTTTGTCATGGCTTAATATCTTCAAAATAACTTATGTGTCCTCAAAGCTCACTCTTAAATCTAATTTTTAAACTTTTATTAAGTTATTTAATTTTAAAAATCTCTGTAAACAATGAAGGTTTTTATAATTAAATGGGCAAACCACTTTACCATTTAATCCTTAATTAAATATTGAACCACTTTAATAAAGTAGCCACCACACAAAGAATACTGAATAAGATATTTGGGGATATAAAAAAGGGAGGGGGGGGTGACAAAAATCCTCCATTAAAATGACCAGCTTGTCTGCTGTAGTAAACAGCGGGGACTATATAAATATTCCCAGTTATCGGAGCCTGGGTATGTGAAGGTGTAGCCATAGTATGAGAAATCGAAGTTCTCTTACTGTCCAGTAGTTCAATATGAGACTTTAATGGCAGTTTGGAGTAGGTCACAGATCTCTTAGCTGGCTAAAAGCTATGAAGATATTACATAGCTGTTTAAGGGGGCATAGTGGAAAGATGAAAAAATAAATGATTTATCTTCCCATAATAAAACGACAGAAAAATGTAGTGACTCAGTTTGAATTGGCATTCAGGGCATGTGACAAAGGGATTCTTTCTGCTGGGATTGAACACTAGCCGAGAGTTCATGCTCAAATGTCTGGATGAAAGTGTAAAATGATAAACTTAGCTAAAAAATAGTATTCCTGCATTTGTTCAGAACTTATTGCTATTGTGTTTCATGTACTTTGCATTTTCAGATAGCTGTTTTAGAGCTCCCATCGACTGCTTTCATTTCCTTGCAGGGAAGTCCTGAATATAAGTGGGATTGGGTTGTAGGAAGAATCTAGCTATATAATTTTGCTCTCATATAAAGACTATAAAATCTTTCTTTGTTATTAAAAAGTTACATTTATTTCAGTGTATGCCTTATTTGTCTTATATAGATTTGTTTCTAATCATGCCTCTTAATGATACAGTTAAACTTAAATTTTAATTATCTATGAAAACATTAATTACCATGGAAATTGGTATTTTAGGATAAAAGGGTTCAGAGGTCAGATGGGTTTATGGAATGATGCATACTATGTCTCTTTTTGGAGATTCATAATGCACATTAGAATGTCAAAGACTCTTAGAGTAGCTAAAGTAAATACTTAAGTTTAGTTTGGAGTTTCTTTGAAGCCAATGATAGACTAAAATGACAAGGATGTCTGTTGCCTTTGTGCTTTTGTATTTTGGTGGGCTTGTTTTGAGATGACTAAAATAAAAGTCCTCATTAGATTAGCCTAGTCAAAAAGTTCTTTTTTGTTTGAGTTATATTTAGAGGAATCATGTAGCACAGTGTTTGGCACATAGATGCTTAATAAAAG